AGTTACAGTTGAACAAAGAGATCAAAATCTGAAGTAATAAAATTTAAAATAATAGGGGTAACAACCTGTGCGATCTTATATAAGTAGATTTAATATGAACGCTCGTTATATATCATATATTTATATACTTGACTCAATTAAGTTTGGTATATCCAGTTCAAGTTATTTCGGTTTGAATATTTAGTTCGTTATAGACAGAGTTCGGTACTTGGTAAAGGATGGCAAATGTCTTTTATTACGTAATTAAAAACAGGTGAAGATAAACTAAAAACAGGTGAGCATTATTTAAATTAAAATTCGGAATTTAATCATCACATGTTTTAAAAATGGTTTAAACTGTTTTTTTACCATCCCTATACTTGGTATATAGAGGTTAAAACTGTTTCATCTTCGGTGGCTCTCTTAGTCTATCGTTTTCATCTTTCGAATATTCCATCTCGTTATAAACTTTTAGCCATGAAGATCCACTTTCATTTCGAAGTTCTTCGATTTTTCGTCTATAATCTTCTCCAAATGTGATAATCTCTGATTCACTACGTGGTGATTCAAATAACACGGCATCAGATTTTTGTTGCGAATCCGTGGAATTCTGACGGAATTTAATCGATTTCTTTTTTTTTATTTGTGGGTCATTTTCCGCGGCAACCGCCTTCTCAATTTCTACGAGTCGATGTTTTGACGACATTTTCTCAAGTCTTGGTCTATTCTTCTTCTTTTTTCCTGATTTTGAACTTCTAATCGACATTACATCTGATCCAGTATCAGTTCCACTATGATTTTCTTCTTCTTCATCAAGATTAACAACTCTACGATGTTTACTTTTAGGTAATTTCAAATTAGAGTTCACATCAACAGGGCTGGTAGACAGAATTGTTTCATTGCCTGAACTAGTCGAAATAGCCTCAGGAATCTTTTCAGATGAAGGTTTGGGATTGACAGTAATATGACGACGTTCATTGTAGCTAGGGCCCGTACCATCCAACATAATTTCTTTATCTTTTTCGCGAAAGAGTGAAAAAATATTGATTCTGTAAGATTGCTAATAATATATAATAAAAAAAAATTTATTTTATTTTAATAAAGCTTAATTTATTTAATATAAAGATCAAGTTTGGTGCATCAAATACCAATCTTGTTTATCGAATTCAATATTTGATTAAAATTGAATATTTTCAACAAACCTGATATTTCGTGAATGGATTGCTTTCCACGAATATCTGTTTTATCCCATGAAGTTCGGACATGCGTCCAATTTCTGCCCAATCTGTTAATCGATTTTCCCTAACGTCAACGTATTCTAAAGACCATAATCGTTCTAATCCACATAAATTTTCTATACGGTTGTTACGCAAGTCCAATTTGGTAACATTACTAAGAACCTGATGAATATTGTTTATTGTTTCGATCATGTTATTGCTAAGATTTAGGTATTGCAAGTCGGGAAGTTGTGATAAACCAGGTGGAACTGCGAGTAACAAATTATCCGATAAATCCAAGCATGCGCATTTAATAATATAGGAAAAAGGTTCACTGGCAACAAAGGTGAGAGAATTGTCTGAAAGATTGAGTTGCCTCAGTTGTCGCCAGATCCTTGGTGGTAAAATATTATCAGGTGAATTATCACCTAAATTTTCAGATTTTGTGGCCGTTTGGTCCGATTCCTTTTTTATATCTTCATTGTTGTCAGTTTTAACATCCTTTCTATTTCTTCTCTTTAGACCGTCAACCACAGCATCAATGAATATTTCTGAAATATCATCAATTGTACACTTTTGCATAGACAAGTGTTCCAATTTCTCTTGTAATATATCCCATCCATCAAACAATTTTGGACATAATCCATAAATTTCTAAATGCGTCAAGCATTTAAATAAAGTCATGGACAACAAAGTTCCTATTGGCAGATCACTAGAGCCACCTATTTTTTTTTGAGTAACGATTGAAAGCTTTAAACCAGAAAGCTTTGTAAATGCACGATATATATATAATATTTCTTCTTTTATTGGAATATTTTCATTTTTTTTGTGCTGCAGCGGCCCACCCTGTCCATCCTGTGAACAACGACAAAGAGGACATAGCGGATGATATTGAACTGACAGAATTCGCTGACGTAATTGACGCTGTTTCATCTTTTAAGTCGATATCAATAATGTCGTCGTCATTATACTTGAAATCAGCTGTTACTTCAAAAGCACCAACATCAAGACCCAAATCACTAAATTTAGTTAACAAATAATATAAATGTTGAGGATCAAGGGTGAGCAAAATTGCTTTTTGACTTGCTTTAAACTCTGGTGAAGAAGGGGCTGTTGATGATGTTAAAGAGGTCGGTTTCAAGTAAGAGCTAGTTAATGCCGTAGTGAAAGACCATACATTTGCCATTGAAAAATTGGAACCATCGCTATTAGACCTTCTATGACCTACTAATACCTGAGATGAAGGCAAAGATGAATTAGAATTAGGTGTAAATATCTTCCGTGCATTTGAACGAATGTATTGTGCCAAAGTACGAATATATTGTTCTCCTGTTACGTCTGAACTCATATTAACGAAAAAATAAAAAATAAAAAATTCCTTTTTGCTATTCCTTTTTGCTATTATATTAGTTTTAAAAATTAAAATGTCAAGGATGTTTGTTCTAAAAACCAAAACGGTCTATTACTGCCAAATTTAATTTAAGATCATGCATTGTGACGTGTGATTGGATAGAATATGATCAAAACTTGATCAAAATTATGTACTACTACGGATATCACCGTTGTTTATGTTTATTTACTGTGACTTTTAGAAAATGCACCTTCTCGGGACTCAAACTAAGACTATAAAAACTTATGGAAAAAAATCTAATGAACGTGTCATTCCCGTTAACAAGCTAAATGATGAAATAGATATTTCATCTGCAGGTGCACCAAAAAGCTTTGACCTACTTTTAAGTGAGCCATCGCGTCACGAATCTAGGAAGCCAAAAAAAGTCTTTGCAAAAGATTTTACAAAAACAAAATTTTTCACGTCCTCTGTTAAGTCCTCCTCGAATTCAACAGTGACTAAAAATGAGCAAGCACACGTTAATATATCACCACCGGCTTCCATCGTGAAAAATGTGCATACCGACAGGTCAACTCCAACCAAAGAAAATCATCGAATCCGCATTCCTCTTACGCCAAAGAATTTAAGTAAAAATAGAAGTGAAAAGCATGAGATATTAAAAGTATCGGTGTATCCTTCTCCGATAAGAGATCGGAATAAGCCTCCAACTCCATTCAACGATACCAAAGAAAATTCACCTCATGTTGTTCCCGAAATAGACCACAGGATTGAGTTTTTATCTAGAGAAATACAAGAAATACAACTTGACAAATCTAAGAGTAGTTTAAAGCCGCAATACAAAAATGATATTTATCAATCAATTAACACACATGATGTTGAAGTTTCAATGAGAAAGGTTTCTAAGATCGAAAGATCTCTTTACAATAATAAGGTGCATGAATCAGAAATAATGGAGTTACTGACGATATGCGAACAAACACGAGTTTATTCTTTTCAGGAATTTTTAGGATTAGAGTGAGAAATCTCATGATTTGATTTTTTGCAAGATTATTATTGGTGATTTTATTTTAATATATAAGAAATTTTATCTTTGTTATTAGTGGAATGAAAAACGTGATTAAAATCGGAGAAGCTAGTTTTTCAGAGGTATTCGCGGGTTATGCGCCAAAATTCACTTCAGTAAAAACAAAGTGTGTCTTCAAGATTATACCATTTGGACGCGGACCAGAAGTCCTAATAAATGGCGACGAACAATGTAGCATAAAGGACATAACCCAAGAAGTTAAAATAACACGCGAATTAGGGGGGAGGACTGGACTTGACCCTTTACTGAGGGTCGGTTTCTTGCAATTATACAGGTACAAAGAAACTCTTATTCCGTATAAGGTTATTTTTATCATGGTATTCAATATTCAATTTAATTCATTATTAGTGTCGGTATATGTCGCGGTAAATATCCTACAGAATTACTTGATGAATGGGATAGATGGGATGCGGAGTTTAATTCAGAGAACGATCGTCCAGGTATACATGTGTTATACATAATCCGTAATTTCATTTTATGCGTAATTTTTTTCAAGAATGTTAATTAATTGATATTAATTAAGACTATTTCGATGTCAAACAACTTTATGTGATATTTGTTGTTGAACATGGAGGAATTTCCCTTGAAGATTTTAAGCTAAAGAATTGGGAACAAGCCTGGAGTCTACTTACTCAAGTTGGATGGGCTTTAGCTCAAGCCGAACAGGTGTGCATACAGTCGTATCCAATGAGATTCATAAATTTAATTTATTATTAATGCATAAATTGTTAATTATCTCAGTCCCTA